GACTTCACCTAATCATCACGGATTCTTAGGAATTACGAGCCACTTCATCACCAAAGAATGGAAGCTTATGGACGTAGTAATTGGGATGCCTAATATTGAAGGCGAGTAATTTATTTTATTTTCTATTTCTTTCATTGTGTGTATTTGATTCTGACTTTTGGTGTTTTTAGGTGCCCATGATGCCGATAACTTTGCAGATATACTTTCCAAGTATATCTGCAAGTTCGATTTGGGCATGAAGATCTCCGGTATGACAGCCGATAATGCCAGCGTCAATACGAAGATTGGTCGATTACTTTCTCAAAATCCCGACCTCAATTTCGCTGAGAATCAACTCATGGGATGCTGTGCACATGTGATCAATTTAGTTGCCAAGCAAGGCCTCAAACTATTTGGAGACAACTCTTTTGAAGACTCGGAACCTCTCCCTCCATCCTTGATGAAGATTGTCGACTCTCCTGACAATTCAACTGTCGATTTGAAGACCATCTATGCTCGTATACACGGTCTGGCTATGTATACTCGAAAAACTCCTCAACGTAGTCAAAACTTTGCTAATGTGATAGCTCTTGTTCGTGATATTCAAGAAGATCCTGAAGCTGAAGCCGAGAAAGATAAAAATCAAAATAAAGATAAAGATAAAGATAGATATGGTCAACAAAACACTGACAATATTGACGATGAGGAAGACCTTGAGGTGCAACTGGACGACGACGCTGTCAGCTTCTTCCAACATCGCACACCCTCCAACTCAGATGAGGAAGACCCCAACATATCTCAAACTGCAAAATCAAAAGATCGTGCCACCAGGTTGATGATCGACGTTCCAACCCGTTGGAACTCATCATACTACATGCTTAAGCGAGCCCTTCGACTGAAAGATGCCTGTGTACAGTATTGTGAACGCCAAGCCCCGAAGTTTGCACTTTCAAAATTGGAATGGAAGTACGTTCAGCAAATGTGTGATTTTCTCGAACCCCTCAGTGAAGCTACCGATCTGTTGTGCCAAAGGCAATATCCTACAATGCATGAAGTCATACCTGTTTACACGGTTATTATGGAGAATTTGTTGGAGGTAAGTACTTTCTTTACCACCTCCATCTAATACTCGATTCTGATAATCAATCTATATTTCTTACTTCAGGTCAAGGAGAAGTATGACCACGATCAGCTTTTACCAGCTGCAAAGGACATGTTTGAGAAGCTGGAGGAATACTTTAAATTAGTACTGACAAAACCAGCACCCATTTGTGCCATGATATTGAATCCTCGCCTCAAGATGAAATTCTTTGAGGTAAGTAATTCTTCAAATCATGAATTTTTTGCTTATACTAATTGAAGATTATTTGCATACCTCATACCTAGGAACATTCCGATTTGTTTTTAAGATATGACATGACTCCTAACGACTTCAAACAACACTTTATCGATATGGCATCAACTTTCACCTGTGCTCCTCCACCCTCTGAGATCAAACCAAAGAAGCCAAAAAATCGGTTTGCCGAAGCAATCTACGGAAGCGACGAACCGACCTCATACGCCACCATTGAAAGCGAGATTAATCGCTATTTGGGTGATTGTGACCGTCATCGGGGGGATATCGTAACTTTTTGGAAAGGGAAGGAGGACGCACTACCAGGACTTGCTAAGATGGCAAGGATGTACCTTTCAATTCCAGCTACAAGCACATCATCCGAGGGAGCGTTTAGCAAGACAAAGCGTATCATCGGACCTCAACAATCATCTCTTACTCCGACTAGTGTGGAAATCCTTCTGTGTCTCAAGGAGTGGTTTCGCCTCTTTGGGGCTATGTTTTTCCCAAATAACATTGGTAGAACATCTGTTTCAGGAACTCAAATTGTTATTGATGATGATAGCGATTAATCGTTTTTATCATATACTTTTCTTTTTTTGAAGGTTTTTTTACTTTAATTTTCTTTCAACATATTACTGTCTGTTTTTTTCTACTTGTTTTGTCTTTGCTTTTTTCTACTACCTTGTCACCGGTCTCAGATTTGAAATCTATCTCTTTGCTGAAATTGCTAAAAACCCGCGGGTTATCCGCGGTTCGAGACGCCTAAACCAACCCCACCCCGCGCCCGAAACCGACGGGGCCCCGATGTATCTGGGTCCAAAAAAAGGCTAACCGGACCCTAACCCCGACGGTTCGGGGCTCGGGTAACCCTCGGGGTGTCGGTTCCGGGGCTCAGGTTGAGAGCCGCTTCGATCTATCAAAAAAAAATCCGAGGAAATCGAGGAACCCTCCCTCTATGGGCTCCTGAAGTTTCACGTTTGAGGGTAATTTCTGGGACTTTGTCTTGTTTAAGCCGTCATATGTAATTGCTACAAGTGGATACAGTCGGAAATTACACCAAAAGCTGGAACTTGAGGAGCCCTTAGAGGAAGGGTTCCTCGGTTTCCTCGTTTTTTTTTTCGATGGTTCAAAGGGCCTCATAGAGGCGAACAGATTATTTCTTTGGCTCAAGGATTTTCACAAATAGATGAAAAAGATTTATAAGGACACCAATTTCCACCAGCCAAAAAGCAATCCCCTCACAGGCGAAAATGTGCTTGGGAGTCATAAGTCCCTCGCTGCGCTCGAAGCGTGCGAGACTCAGCTGAGGGACTTAGTTGAGTTTAGGTTTACCGGAGTTTTCTCGCTTTTCTCTCTTCCGCTCAAAGCGTGCGCATACATACATGCGCTGGGCAGTCAAGCTGTGGGCGCGTGTTTTGAAAAGTCAGGCGCACCTGTGCGCCTGTTTTCACCAAAAAAATTTGCCTCGCACCCGTGTGCGGCGGTGCTACGCACCCTTGTCTCGATTCGCTTTGTTTTAGATAAAAGCAGCGGAAAACATATATTTCATCATATAAATCTTTTACATTTATATGGAGAAAACTTTGATTAGACAGGATAAGTTGAAATGTTGTAGGAAATCATTTGAAGAGATCATCGGCACTCCAGGCCACTCCAGGACTGTCTGGAACATCCATAACATGCGACTCTTGAGCCAGACTAGATGAACAACTTTTCTCAAATACTCGGAAATCAAAGATAGAAGTGATGAATCCAGTTTCGTCTACATAAAGACTGGGATCGATAGGGTCCAGATGAGCGAATACACCTTCTTCAAAATATTCCAATTCTTGCTCAGCAAGAGCTTCTTCAGTATCGAGATCGCTTTTCAAAGCTTGTTTTTTGTTCTGAGAGGTGTATCTTTTGTTAGGATCCTGTGATAAGAGATGCATCCGGACCTGTGAAGACATTTTTAGAGTGTTGGTCTTCATGCTACTACGGCGCTTCGTTTTCGTGGCCCCCATATCCGAAAAAAGACTTTCAACACCAGCTGCATGTGGAACTACTTGGAGAACAGAAATCGCGAGTCTCTTGAGAGGGCTTTGATTGGCTGAAACCGGTAGACTGAGCCAATAAGTAAGGGGCTGAGAGCCTAGATCGACTCAAGCAAATGTCAGATGAGTCATGTAGGTATAGAGGTCTCAAGAAACTATAAAGGGACTTACTATTAGTGTCCGACTGAAATGGCGACTGAGAGTTATAGAACCTAATAACTTCATCCTTTATTGTGTAACCTTCCCTTGCAGAGAATCCCCATCGATTAGCAAGGTTACATATCATCCAATTCATCTTGCAAAGGTCAAACCGGCGAGATACAGCAGTAGTCCGAAACGAGGGATTCAAAAAGAAGGCTATAAAGTAGATGTCTTCATTGAAGACTTTGCTTCGCAGGTGTAGGACACTTTCGGAATATCTTTTGAATGGAAGATATCGACTGTAGACGTCGATCTTTGATAGAGCACAATAGACGTGCAGAACTTCTTTCCAGATGTCGGCAAGAGTTGTGTTGGCATGTTCCAATCGACCGATGGCATCAACCACTGATCTTAAAACAATTATGAGAGCTTGGTTTCCCGTGAAATGGTCGCGATCAGAGATTATTGATTGGACATTTGCATTGATTTTGGGTGAATCAAACAAAGGGTCATCATCGGCTTTGATTGCTTTCTTGAACCCACCCTCATGTTCGGATACACTGATGCAGACTTTTGCCATCGAATACCAGCGAGTCTCGCATGCAGTCATGAGACCATGTCCAATTTTGTTTTCTTTTCGCCAATCTTCAAGGAAGTCGGACCAAAAATGTGATTTTGTAAAGAAATTGACCAAGTTTTTGTTTGCTGAGACGACGTCGGTCATTGTTGGATGTGACAGTATATCTTTGGCAATAAGGTTGAATACGTGTAAACAACAATTGATTCCAATGACATGTGGATGCTGTAATGTGATGTTTTTCTAAAGAAGACAATCAGTACCTATCTAAAAAAACACAGATACAAGACTTACTCGTAAGGAAATCATTGGACTAGGCGAGTCTGTGACCACAGCACAAACTTGGGACCAATCAAGGGCCTTCTTTTCAAGTACTTTGTCCAATGCGGCATGAGTGTTTGCTGATGTGTGTCGTTTATGATGAAGATCAAGAACATCAATGAATTCCTTGATCTCAGTACCTTTGAGAACTAAGGTAGCGTAGATACTTGACTTGGAACAATCAGTCCAGCCATCGAGAGAGATTGTAAGAAACTTTGTGTCTTCTAAGAGCTCACTAACACGGAGCTCGTTTTTGGCGTGTAAAATAGGAAGAGTAGAATCACACATTGAGTAACGGGTGGGGACTGTGTAAGGGGTTCGGGAAAGAGTTTGTTGGTATTTGATGAAAAAACGGTTTTGAAGAAATGAAAACGGAATGTGTCCAGAGATTATGGCTTTGAGTAACAGCTCGTGAAGTTTCTCGGTGGTTGATTTTGACATTGGCGTGAAGTGATGAAGCGTGCCTTGATTGTCGTTCTTTTTTTTTTTTGAGGCAATGTTTACAACCAAACATTCATCATCAATTGACCGTTTTGAAGTATGAGTTTGGCTGTGATCCTCTGGAGATGAGTCTGAATGCTGTGTGTCGTGCTTGTCAACAACTTGCTGAAGGTAACTTGATTTCTGTTGAGCAGTCATCTTTGGACAAGAATCTTTTACGTGAGCAAATAATTTGTGGGGTTTTCCATTGTACCATTCTTCCTTGCAGTATGTGCACTTTGCCTCTCGTCGCTTGCTCTTATCGTCTCGGAGTGCTGTTGTAAGAAAACCTTGCCATCGAGGCCCTTGTTTGGAGTTGGGCAGAATCCACTTGGAGCTGTTTGGACCGGACATTGAAGTATGTGAGAGGGAGCTGAAGAAAAAAATTCTGCCTGTTGTCACTGGGCAGCCTCAAGATCCCTTGCAGCTCAGCCCTGTCGCACCCCTCGCCCCCCCCCTTTTTTAGCTTCTCAGGTGCGAGAGGTGCGTCGCAGGGTGCGCCCGCACCCCTGTGCGGCGCACTCACCCTGGCGCCCACAGCTTGACTGGGCAGGCATCATGCCTATCACCCCATTTCCCTTCATCACCATTCTGCCTTCTTAGGCGGGCGGAAAATGGGGGCTGACGATTCTTTATGTTTTTTCTTACTTCTTCGATCTTCTACGATCGCTTCAGTTTCTTTGTCTAAGATTCTCACGACGCAATACAATTTCTGTTCGCGCTACCGCTACGCGTACATCACAAGCTGTATTACAGATTGGTCCCATGCGTCTCTAGCCCTAAACATTCGAAACCTATTCCTAAAAATGTAAACTCACCATCCATTCGACTCTCGACATTTTCCTTGTTGACTTCTTGACAGTTTTCCTCGGTTCAACTCATGTCATCGATCAAGTTGATTTTAAGTTTCCTTCCTTTCTTCCTTTGCTTGATTGAATTGAAGTGGATTTGAAATGTTCGATTTGATGACTTGATCGATCTCCATCCTTCTTGACCTCTACTTGCAATGTGATTTCTGATTTCTTTCATTTCTTACTTTAAACACTCTTTTATACTTTTCAATCTTCATCTCCTTTCATTTTCATTCTTGATTACACTCATTCGTTCATTCATTCATTCATTCATTCATTTATTCCTTCGATCTACACTTTACAAACTTCCTTTAAAATGAAATCACGGTCCATGTCCAGATCATCCACTGAGCTTTGTGAATCCACTAACCCATCGGTGAATTCATCTGATTTTAAACCCAAGTTGATGATGTTGAATTACGAGAAATCAAGTCTGAGCAGGAAACATTCTGATTCGAGAAAGGCTTTGATTGAAACTGAAATTGAAACTAAACTTGAAGTTGAAACTGAGAGTTTCTTAAATCGTAATCTGAGTAGTAGTAGCGGCACTTCAAGGGAATGGTTTTCACCGTCATCCTCAATCACCTCATCTTCATCAGTTCAATCCAATTCAACTCATCAAACTAATTTAACTGATTGCGTATCATTCTCATCACCTCAATCAAACCAATTCAAATCTCAATCTTCACTTCAGCCTCAATCTCTTAGCGAATCTCGACCAAATCGTGATCTGAATCATACCAGTCTATCTTCTCAATCTGTTCGTAAACCTAATCCAAAATCAACACCTCAATTTCTATCCTCAATACCTAGACCTACTTCTTTAAGATCATTAAAATATTCAACCTCAATGAACTTTGCACCACCACCTCGATTATCTTCTCGCGGTAATCATGATAACAACAATCACCAACATACTACCAGTGCCACTTCATTACCCATCAGACAACGTGCCCAATCTGCTCAATCTCATGATCCATCCATTTTGAATTTGAAACCATTCAATCAATCAACTCCCAGATCACGTCCATCTTTCACAACACAGCCCAATTCAAGTACTTCAACCTTGAATCGATCTGCTCTTCCATCACCTTCAAATCGATTCACAAGTGCTCGTTTGAATTCTCAAAGTTTCAAATTAAATGATGAACCTCATCAACTTTCAACCTCAACATCATCATCTCCAAATCGACAACGTACTCAGACACTTACTTCAATACCTATTCCTAAACAAACCTTTCGATCAAATACAGCGATCACACCACAAAGATCTCGGACTCGCCTCACTCCATCTCGATCAACTAGTACTTCACCTTTACCACCTCGTAATGTTCGATCACCTAATCCTACCATCACATCTGATGAAGAACCGGATATACCACTTCGTAAATCTTTACGGACTAATCCAAACCAATCATCCGTCATCAAGAAATCATCTAACAAATCCAATCCAATCACCAATACAAATGTTAAATCAAAATCAAAATCAACTACATACTTACCTCAATCCAATACTGAACCCATCAGATTACAAAGTTTTGATTTAAATCCACTGAATGTAGAAAAATCTAATCACACTGAATCTACATTTTCATCTCTTGAGAAACCTTTGCGATCGAATTCCACCAATCTCAGTTGCAAATCCATCCCAGAAGTGATTAATCTTGTTACTAATAGAGAAAGCATCTTGAAGAATTCGATCAACTCAGTCAATGAACTTCCAAATCACTTTGATCTACCGATTGATGATGAAAGGAAAAGGGCTCTTCAACACATCATGACTTCATTGGGACACGAGTCTTTCATAAGTCTCATCGATCAATTCAAACTACATGAACTTCTTTCACAACGCGAACTTTATCATACTCAACAACAAATCCAATCACGTCTCGCTTTCATTCAACCTGATCTCTTTTCACCTCAACCTGAATTGTTCAGATCTCAAAATTTTGATTCGAGCGAACATCCAACTTCAGAATCCAAACTGCACACTACTTCATCTCATTCAAATTCTTCAGCTCCCATCCACTATCCAACATCAAATAATAAACGATCAGGATCAAGTTCAACACCTGGAAATAACTTTCTTGAAAAATTCCGTACCAAATTGAATTCAAAGAACCTCTTGGGAAACAAAACTAGAAACAAGAAATTAAGTGGTACAATCTCAAGTCAACTTTTTTCACCTACTTCATCCTTTAATCGGATTTCATCCTCGGAAAAAATCAGTATAAGTGTCTCAAGATCAAGTGTAACTCAAGAGAAACATAAAAGTCAAATCTTGGGTGCTCAATTAGAATCCATGAACAAATCCACTTGCGTAATTACTATCGGATCTAGTTTGCATGTCTTACCTACTTTACCATTCATGGTGATTGAAGAAATCTATCGTAGAGGTCAGTCTTCTTTTCACTATAATATCTTTGATTTTTCTCAAACTGAGAGATCACCTTGTATGTTTTAGGCATGCACACCATTGGCATCCTACGAATCACAGGCGACTTCAATCGAATCGATAGTTTAATGCAACTCTTTCAAACTTGTACACAACCTGATCTATCACAAGAAGACATTCATACATTAGCTGGCACTTTGAAACAATTCTTAAGAGCTTTACCAGATCCGATTTTCCATCCCATCTTTTTTGAAGCACTTTGTACATCATGTCAATCCACCAATGATGAAACTCAATCAAAATCAATTGAATTAGTTTCGAATCTTTTAAAACTTTTACCTACCAGATCATTAAGTTTATTGATTTATTTGATTTCGTTTTTATCTAAGATCCCACAATTTCCAGAAAATCGAATTCAATTTGATTCAATTTCATTAATCTTTGGTCCTACCATCTTTTTATCACGTCAAATCGGTTTACCTGGCCTAGGTTTAAATTCGTATTCTGCTAGTTTAGGTGAAGGACTTTTGATCGAAACAAAAAAATCTAGAGATTGTTTGTTTTGGTTATTAGGTAGATGGGATGAGATTTTGAAGTGTTTGGTTTCGAATGAAGGTTTAGATCAGAAACTTGAATTTGTTCAAAAGAAAGTGGAATTGAGTTTATCGGATGATTCGTTGAGTAAGTGGATTGATTTTCTTGATTTGGTATTTTCAAGATCTAATTTCGTAAAACTTGAAATTGATTTCTTCTTTTCAATTGGGATTTTTTTGCTACGCTTTTCAGTTTATTCATCTGGAGATGAAAACCCAACACAAACTCCAAAAGATGAAGATGTTCATCAAAGTTCAAAACCGTTTACTTGGATCAATTTAAATGAAGTTGAAAAAAGTCAATCGATCAAAACCAATCGAACATCTAATTCTACCGTTGAGTTTACTACCTCCACCATTCATCAAGAAATTCAAGATTCTTCACCAGAAGACGATCAAGGGTTTGATGATCGATGTAAAGTGAACAGTAAGTTTTTTTTGTTTTTTGGTTTCTTAAAGTGTGTTTTGAAGATGAAAATTGATGAAAGATTTTTGGTTTTTGGGTGGATGGGAAAATGTAGAGGAAAAAGAAGAGAAAGTGAAGATTAAAAGAAATTCAAGTTTAGATTCTAATGATGAATTCGAACCTGAAGAAGTAAATTTAAAAGTAAATCCCCAAGATTCGACCATTAACCAAACAACCACAAGAAGTAGTATCGGATCCGAAAAGAACTTAACACTCAATCCGACTTTACCATTGGATCTGAACAAAAGTTCAATGAAGATCAAACTTGAATTAAAATTAGCATTAGAAAGAATCAAAGAATTAGAAAACCAATTGAGTGAATCAAATGAGATTAAAGAAGATGAAATTAAAAAAAGATTACAGATTGAAGTGGAATTTGATCGAGTCTTGATGGAATCAAATGGTTTGAAAGATAAATTGAAATCCATTCAACTCGTTTTAGATTCTTGAAGTTTTTTTTTGGAAATTCTATTCAATCACAAGCAATCAATCAAACAGAATCGGAGAAATTGTTGTTTTTTTTGTAATATGTGGGGTTCGGATTCATATTAATGGGTACTTGGTTTTTTTAGAAACTTGAAGTAAAGGTTGAATCGAATTAGATTTCTTTTATAAAAAAACTGTACATATTGCTTATATATATATTACATACATTTAGTTCCATAGTTTCATGGGTTTTTTTTCTGTTAAAAGTCTTGGTTTAAACTTTGGTGGTGATGAAGGGGTTTTCCCATCCATTTGTTGAAATAAATAATTTACTTGGGTTTTTTCTGTTTTGCGGTTTGTGGTTTGGGGTTTGGTTTTAATAGAACAAAAAAATTTAATGGAATTAATTTAAAATTGAAATTGAAATTGTTTTTTTGTGTGTGCTTTTTTTTAAATTATGGAATTAGTGTTGTTCTGATGTATGTTTTTTTTTTGTGATTTGATCCATTTTTGTGATTCTTCTGTGCTTTCTCTGTGCTTTCTCTGTGCTTTTTTTGTGATTTTTTTGTGATTTTTTTTTTGGTTTTGCTCATTTAATTTATTTATGGATCGCGCTATTTGGCGCCCGCTTTCAAATTACCCGAAGCCCGGTTTTTTCGGTACATCAACCGTGCCTCCAGGCCAAATTTGGCCGCAGCCGCAGCTGTATCACAAAGCGGGCTGTCATATCAAGAAAGCGGGCTCTAATACCCTTTTACCGGGCTGTCACTCATGAAACCGGGCTGTACCTTATCAAACCGGGCAGTATAGGTAGTGTTCTCTCTACCTATATTTGTTCGACACATTCTCTCTCAGCTGCTTCGACACTTCCTTCCTAAGTACAACTTCCAATTCCCAATTGGACTCACCCAAAGAAGCAACGCCTCCCAACCCAATCCGTCCGAATCCAAAGATGGTAAGTCGTTCACCTTCACCTATCTTATCTTGTCTTAGTAGTTTCTACCCTCGGTGTTTGGAAACCGCAACCCAGATATGTTGGAATCAACTAATATACCCCTCTGGATCGAGGAGTATAAAGATCAGTTGGCTCGTTGGAGGGATCAAAGATCAGGGTCAAAGGAGGTTATTGGGTCAAAGGAGGTTATTCACGTAGAATGATTATCTTGTGTCTTTAGTAGTTTGTCTTTAGTACTTTTTTTTCTGTTGTTTGTGAGACACGTTTTAGTTTAGTTTTGTTTTGTATCTCTTTCTACCACGCTCATTACTCATGTCACGCTCGTTAAGTTATATTTGGAATGGTCACACTCGTTTACTTCCATTTCAAAAGTAACATTTGATGAGAAACAAGCCAAAAGATGAGAAGTCGAAAAAAGAAGTAAGTCGAAAGGGTGGAAATTAGAATGGGAAATAAGGGAGAAACACTGGCAAGTGGAAGTGAAATCAAATCTGAAAACCGGGCGTCTCTGATTCGAATTCACAAACCGGGCTGCGTAGATGTCACCGCCCGGTTATACAGTTCAAAACCGGGCGGTGAGTGTTTGAAAGCGGGCGCCAAATAGCGCGATCCTTTATTTATTTATTTCCATTAAAAAAAATCAAGATTTTTTTTCTCATTTGTTCATTGATTTATAGAAATTCCAAATTAAAAAGAAATCTATGTTTTTTATTTCTAGGTTGAGGTTGATGTTGATCTTAGATTGTTTGTTTTTCTTGATACAGTCAAATTGGAAAAGCTTGACTGATTTTGCCTGCAAAACTCGAGCAATTTGGCGGGGAATTTGTGACAAGCTTTTCTGGTTCTGCTTTGACTGTAATTCTTCTTGATTAATTTTAAAAAGGCTTTCATGAGTTTATTCTGAACTTGATGGGTTCTATGATTCATCCTGTGAGGATGGTGGTTTGGAATTTGAGAGGGTGAACAGGATAAGAGTGATAGTGATCCCTGATGCTAAGATGTGTGATTGTGATGTAAGTTGGATTTGGTTTGTTAAACACTATGACTGTGTTCTGGTCTTGGTGAACCTTGCTGATCATTCATGGCAATGTATTTGACTGGTCTATGAGTCTTCTCATAATCAGATAAGGCTATGTGTGTCATGACCATTTTTTGTTATGGCTTTGGGTTGAACTTGAAAAGATTAGATTTTGTTTTTCAATTTTGGGTATGTTTATGTACAGTCTATGGGTGAGACTGTAACATGAGGAAAAGAATTGTGAGAATTTTATTAAAGGTTTAGTCCTGATTATCTTGAGGCGTCTGAGAAAAAAGGGTCTGGTTAAGGCTTTAGAGAGGTTTTTTTTGAGATAAAAGATGTGATTTGGTAAAAAAAATCTGTTGGAGACTTGAGATTTACATTAGATTTCTTAATCTGAGGTAAATAATTAGGTAATGAAACCTTTCAAACTTTTTAATTACAATGATCTTACATCAAAAAAGGTTTTGTACATAAAAGAAACACAGATAAATCAATTATGAATGAAACAGAAAAAATCAACAGGTTGATTGTACCTCCAAAACTAAATGCATTTGAGTGAGGTTCAGGTAATTAGATGAACTTGTAGGATGGTAGAACTTGTTTGGTGAGTTAAAGTTACAATATCCTAAATATATTGAGTTTTGTATCACATAGTAAGACAGATTTTTTTGAGAGAGAGAGACACAAGTACAGGTGATGTATGTTATTGTTCTTTGGCCAAAAAGCTTGAGTGTAGACTCTAGAGGTTTGTGGGACTGTAATTAAGTTGATTATGTGATACAGCCTTCTCTGACATAACCCATACCCAAAAAATGTGGCCCAACAGTATGGGTTTTGCTAGAGTATAGGTTACCTCAATCTCTTCTTTCAAAAGCCATAACTATATATTTGCAGACAAAATATGGGTTATGACAAAGATTGTACAAAACAAAAAATAGACTGGTTAGGAAACTTCAAAAAACATATCAGCAAGAGTCTGCTGCTTTGCAGCTTTAACACATATCATTGGCAGTGTCCAACAGAGGATCAGACAACCCTTTCTGCACTTCTTGTGCATTGTCACTTTCCAAGTAAAGCGTGATATCTGAGGCTTTGAGGAATTCTTCATGGGTAGGTCATGGTGGTGGAGGTATATTTTCTACTATAGATTCTTTTCATTTGCTTCTTGTTGCATGTTTTTGGATTTCTCAAAACCTTCCTCAGTAATAGCCACATTGTATTTGGACAAGTTTGCAAGAAGCATGATGTAATTGAGTTCCTGATGTGCGGTGTGTGAAAGTTAGATAAGGTTGAATAAGGTCACTATCAAGAGTTTGTCTGTAAATCTTCATGTCTAGAGTTTTTCAAGTGTCCCCTGACTTATGGGTTATGAGCTCTGGTTTCCCTCAAAAACCTTATGGGTTATGGGGTACTACAAAGTTATGGGTTATGTACCCACTTTCCCTGCAATTTTTCTGCAGATTCCTAAATTTGTATGGGTTTTGATGGAGTTTGGCTTACAGCACAGGTGGGTTATGTCAGAGAAGACTGTATATAGATTTGTACAAAATCATAAATGATTGAGTCCCACTTCCTGGGTTGAAAAATCAAATAGGATACATTCCAATCAAAGTATGTCTCCTTATCATAACTAGCAATTAGTGTCACTAAAGTTTTGGGACATTAGGTAATGGGTATTGAGAAGCTTGGATCTGTTTGAGTGAGAGATGAGTTCATATGTTAACAACAATATGGTTCAAATGACAAATAGATGTATGAATTACTTTAGAGAAAAGATCTTCCTTCTTGACAACTGAACTTATAAGGTCTGGAAGCTCAGAAGCATGTTTGAATGAGATACACCATGTCCATGTGGTGTTTGCTTGTCAACAAGCGCACACAAGTTGCCTTGTGCCTCAAAAGCAGTCTGTGTGCGCTCGTTGTTGGGCGACTGCCACAAGGTCACAGTGATATTACCTCCTTGATCCTCAACCAAACAGACATTTTAATGTTGAAGGCACTTTACACAAACAGTCTGGTGAGAAGCAGTAGGGATTGGACCCAAATAGCCAAGATCTTTCAGGACTCGAGCAAATGTCAGTGTCTCAAGGGAACTTGAGAGAATCATCATTGGCATAAATAAAATTGACAGATTGGAGCACACTACAGTTTCCTTTGATTTCTTCACAAGCATCACATAAAATGTTCTTGTTTCCTTTTGCAAAACAAGGTGTTTTGTCAGTTGCTTGAGTAGATTTCTCCCTGTTCTCTTTGTCTCTTTGATTACCATTTGACTCAAGACTCCAGGATTGTAATTAATTGGGCTTTCTGAGTGTTGGTTAACTTGTGCCCTTGAGCCTGTTGTCCAAAAATTTCCCTGCAGATTGTATGTCAGTTGTTTCCTTGATAGATGTTGGAAGTCTTGGAGATAAAGTATGCAATTGAATGTGTAGATTTTGGTTGTTCCCATGTGTTGTCATTGATCCCTGGACAAGAAACTGAAATCAGATTAGGATTGGGGGCTGTGGAAGTTTTGAAACAAGAACTTAACTGAGTTGTCTTATTGAGATTGTATGTTTTGTCCTTGCAAGTGTCTGTTCCGAATTTTTCCAAAGTCTAGCCTTATAGAAAGACAACAATCTGATGTTCCAGTGGACCAATGAGCTTCTTCAGATCTGTCACTACCTCTACTAAGCCAAATTGTTTTGGCACCGTATGGCATGAGAAGTTTTTACCACCAAGATACTCCTTCACCTTGCATCACTTGCACTCTTTGCCTGGTCTTGATAATGGGCACAACTCAATCACTCTTGTTTGCTTGAGTTTGTGCTTTTAAATCTTAGAATGTCCAATGCCTTGTGTATCATTGTCATTTTTGGAGGACAAGACAATGACCTTGAATTTATTGATATTGGCATCCAATTTATCAGAACTGTCACATCTTGCTTGCTTGTTTAAAGGCTTTGGGGTGTTTGAGGTGATTGGGTTGTACTAGGATACCACTTGTTGTTTTCTGTCTGCCTTTGGAGCTGATTGCTCATCAGATTTGTCTTCAGCCCTGGTATCTGATTGAATTAACATTCTAACTCAAATTAGTCTCAATTTTTTGTCTCAAAACTGGTCAAGAGTCACCTTTAGATGTGGATATGATATTTTCCAGCTTGTTTTTGATTAACTTGTCAGAATGACCATCTCATGTGTGATGCTTCCAAGCTGTCTGGACTCATTTATATATCATGGGAAGTCCAAAGGGCCCTTTCAATATATCCTGTCTAATGCAGTTGGCACCAATTACAGCATCAAGAGTGGTGTTGACTGAAGCCACATTTGTTCCTTGTTGTCAGCAACTGGAGCATTTGAGAAACACATGAATATCAAATACCAACAGGTCCCTTCTTAAAGATTGGGGCAGTGGTTGCAGAGGTCAAGAATTTTACGAGAGTTTGTTCAAAAGACAACATGTTTCCAAACTTGATCAAGTACCTCTTGAGCTGTACCAGCGCCCCTTGCTTGAGTGGGCTGGTACAGCTCAAGATGGACTTTGTTCAGTTTGATATGTTTCAGGTGTTTGATGTACTTTGATGGTAAGTGTATGTATATAGATCTCAGAGCTTGTGAGAGCTTTTGACTGTGAAATGCCTTGGTGGAAACCTAACCCTATCTGCTAGAAACATCGCCTTTTGTGTGACACACATCAGAATTTGACACCTTAAAAGCCCCCTTTCACATCCCATACATCTGGGCAGAAATTGGCAAAGAGAACCCCTTTGGGACGTGTACAATTACATACTTGATTTTCCCCCCAAAAAATCTCTCAAAAACCCACCTTTCTTGTCACAAACCTTAATAGGGGCATTCCTGGGTCCCAACATGGGGTTGGAACAGGTCAGACTGTATCAAGTGCTGATTTGTAGCATGCACTTATTTTGGTTGATCTGACATGAAAAAAAGATGCAAAAGACACTTAAATCTCTCCAGACAATCAAAACCTATTGATGTTAAACAACCTTGGATACCTGGTCTGCTGTAAGCCTCAGTCTTCTTAATAGAAGAAACTTCAGTTCAAAATCTACCACCTTTTTTGGAAACAAATAAATTCTGGTCCCACCCAAGAATTTGTGATTGTCATTCAGAATGCACAAACACCGTGCCCGTTGAGAGGGCCCCCGACGTCGAGGGCCCAATGAGTTGCGAGCTTTGTTCAAGCTTTGTTCGACTTTACTTCTGGTATGTCTAAAAGGGTTAGACCCCTGCACGCCTTAACCTCAGAAGTGTGAAGCTCACTACGACTGTGCAGCTGATCAGATGAATCAGTGCTCAGCAGTAGTTTGAACTTTTTCACATCTCAGCATTGCTCATTGTATCCCCTTTCAAAACTAGGAAGCACATTGATATCTAACACTTATGAAAAAGATCTGAGTCAAGTACAACATTTGATTTGTGTATATATCAAAATACATAGGTAACAAGAGAGAAAAAATGGCCACAAGTATGTACAGAGAGAGAGGAGGAAAAGGCTAGAATCAGACCGGTTATGACCACAGGGCACAGCGTCATCTCACATGATGACAGTCCCCAAGATGAAATTGACCTCTCATTTCAAGCTTGATATTCTTGACAATCTTCTGGAGGACGTCACAAAACTCTTTGTCACAACCGCAGAAATCACCTTGAGAACAGAAACATTATCAGCCCCACTCATAACTCGATTCAAGTTTACAGACCCGACTTACATTCATCATATTCAGAAGAGCCGGTGGAGGAGTCTTAATTTCTGGCAATGTCAACTGTGTCAATCACGAGACCCTGTCAGACCCTGTCAGTTAGAAGGCTAGAGACATGGAGCAATTGATTGAGGAAAACCTATGTACCTCCATGAAATCCTGAAGATCCAGATGAACTACTGGTGATGTCAACTGTTTCATGAATGCCATTTCGCCGTTTACGCTTGCTAGGAGGCTCGTTTTCTACGTAGACAAAATATCATTCATTGAGATTCAATGGAGCATAGAGAAGGGAACATACCATTGATTTCTCCTTCAAAGAGTTGATCAACTTGTCGTTTCTCACTATCCCTGACAGCAGTTGGGCTCAAGAGATCATCGTGGCCCGAGAGATCGTTGTGGGATAAGACGTGGCTCAAAAAATCAAGACCATCGCCATTATCCATTGAATGATGACAGTAGACGAGGACCTGCCATACGTGTGAATGCCTCAAGCCGTGTAAAGAAAGGCTTGCCAATCAATTTCTACTGTCCTAACTTCCTTTCAAAGCTCTCTATCACAGAACGAGCCTCTCTCACCACTGTACTGGCCTTGCCGGAACTTAATCAATTACTATCTGATACATATTTGAAGTCACACAAGTAATAGTTTGTCATTTATGTTTTATATATCTCAATTTCAAGCTTTAAAAACAATACATTTCAATTTCAAGTTTTTAAAACATTATAAAACATATTGTCATAAATTGTAACTTACGCGAATGATCTAAGACAATTAGTGGTTGACTCGACGACTAGTATTGAAGATTGGAATTTAGTAGTACACTTTTCCTTATGGTGACATGATTATGACTAGTTTTCAATTGCGATTTACAAATCAGTTAACAGTTCAGGGCAAAAGATTGTACCTGATATGTTTGTTAGATGGCGTGATGACTGATTCTATTTTGTTATATATATCACTGTTGTATCTTGATCTCATGCTCTTTTTCTTCATCGGAATTGTTGTTATCTTTACCTTCTCTTTTCTACACTTTCTACACCACTAGGGGTTGTCAAGTTTTTTTTTTTTTTTACGGTTTTTACCGTAAAAATTCTCTCCCGCTGTAGCATAAATTTACACAAATTTTATGCAAACAGGAGAGGATTTATGTATTCTGTTTGCGTAAAACGTAGACTTTATGACAAAATTACGACTACAGCGGGAAACCCAAAGACAACCTGCGGGTTTTTCAACTAGCAAACTGTTGGCCAAGGTTGGTCAACGCTTCATAACATGGACTTTTACCTCATCCATCGTCTCATCGACTTTTCTCTGCTTTCCAAATTTCTCTCTTCATCCATCGACAATCAATTGATTTACCTTTAAACTATTGATCAACTCCACTTCCAGCTATCAATCAACTTCGCTTTCAGCTATCGATCAACTCCACTTTTGACTATCAATCAACTCCACTTTTGACTATCGATCAGTTTTAAACCAAGCAACTTATTGCAACCTTGACAGGTCAAGCTCTACAATAAGTTGTGACTGTTAGATAGGATCAACAGGTTGATCCTCATCTACAGTCTGGTCACATCACTGGTCCTTAAAACTTCAACTCACAAGCAGCTTTGGTGAGCTTAAACTGCATCAATTCATCATCATTCACTAACTAACATTTACCTCTATCTGATCAGCCACAATGAAACCATCATCATCAAAACCTACCATTACTCCGAACCGACGTAGCAAAGCAGTGATTGCTGAAGATAACGCCAAGATGTTGAAGGATCAAAATCTTCCACCTAACACACCAATTACGACTGCAATGATCCGCAAGTCTAAAGCAATGTCAAATGCTTTGGCACCCACAACTTCAACAAGCAAAGCTCCTTCAAAACCTCGCCAGCTACCATTACCAGCACCTTCTGTACCGACCCAACCACGAGTGACCTACTCAGCGCTTATGGCTAAAAACAAAGGAGATGAAGAATCACAAAAGAAAGAAAAAGAAGAAGCAGAAAACAATTCTAGAAATCCTTGCTTTGACAATATTGACTTGGGTTTCCTTATTAATCATCTCAGCCAGCCAGCAAATCATGCAAAGTTGTTGGCTTCTGGACCAAAGACAACTGTTGGCGGTCTTAGTTGTGGTGCTGAATGGAACATACTAGCGGCTTTAATCAACAATATGCACAACAATCGTCTTGGACTCACCAATACCTCTAGTCCCAACAAGCTGAATCTCAATGGTGGTGAATTAGCCAAGCGATGGGCCCATATCAAGGCAACATATATTTCTACAAGGAATCATTGGAAGGACACTGGCCAAGGATTGAGTGATAAAGACACCACTGACGGATTCACATCGGTCGAACAAAAGAAAGAGGCTCAATGCCCAATGTTCAACGCACTTGAAGACATGTTTGGCAACAAACCAAACATCACAGCATTCTCTGTCCAGGACAGCATGGTGAATCCTGTACACTGGGGACGCCAACCCAAGTCTCCATCACCCGACAATCAATCTGTTGAACCTATCTCTCAAAATCAAGAACAAGATAAAGATGATGATATAAATTCAAATCAAAATATGAATCGAGATCATGAGTTCAATCCTTACATTGACTTCGAATCTCAAACTAACAACCCATGCATTGCAATGATCACAGGCAAGTCTGTTCTAACTCAACTTCATTAAAATTTCCTTCTATCTAACCTATGTGATTCTTTTCTCTTCTCTTAAAACTAGATGATCACTTGCATGATTTTGATAATAATTTTGAACAAACTGAGATCAATCCTTACATTGACTCTGAATATGAATCTAATAACCTAAACATATCTAACACAGGTAAGTCTGTTCTAACTCAACTTCATTAAAATTTCCTTCTATCTAACCTATGTGATTCTTTTCTCTTCTCTTAAAACTAGATGATCACTTACTCGATTTTAATAATGATCAAGGTGTATATACTCAAATCAAAGATGGATTAGTTGTATTTGATAATGAGATGACGGATCAATTACAAGATGATCAATTACAAAATGACGAATACAATCAAGCTATATTACAAGAAGATCAATTACACAAAGCTGAAATAGTTCCTCAACCCAAAGTTCAAACCAAAAAGGCTCAACAAGCAGCTCTAAGCCTGGCTAAGCGACCAGCAAAGCCTTTACCAGCTCTGAATGCAACTGACGCCAAAAGAAAGAAACCAATTGAAAACTCACTTGAGCAAGTTAACTCCGAATGACTCAAGTTCTATGACGAACAAATCAAAGCCTCTACTAGTAAGCAAGACGAACGAGGTCAAGTTGCAGCCAAATCAGCAGCAGACACATTGGATTTTAAGCAGAAAAAGTGGGACCTTCAAATTGAACGTGAAGATAAGAGGATTGCATCAGAGTCAACACGACTTCTCCAAATTGCTCAACTTAATAATGAAAATGACAAAAAGAAAGCACGTCGAGAAGCAATTGAGCATTGTCGCAAGGAAAACATGCCTATGGAAGAAATGAAGGATTATATTGCTTTTCTCTTTCCAACTTCTGACAAAGCTTAAAAAATCCATTACAAAAGTTAACCTCACTCAATGAAAACAGCTATCATTTATTAAAACAAGAGTTGTTTTCTGCACTCTTATCAAATGAAACCATACTGTACCCTTTAAATAAAGCCATCTCCAATCAATTTTCTCTTTTATTTTTGTACTGTTTGTGTTTGTGTCTATTTTATTGAGTGTTCTGAAGCAATGCAACTATGTATCAAGGTCGTTGAAAGCAACTACATGATCACGTATTGCCTCCCGTCGAAGATAACCTATATCATCATGCCCAATGTTTGCATTCACATCCAGATGTACACTCGGTAATCCAACAGGTTTGTCTTCATCCTCATTGTATTCATCTTCCCACGCATCTCCTAGTTGAGCTAGCATGTTATGTAGTAGGATACAACATTGGATCCAATCAATGATAAAATCCATATCTTCTTTTGAATCAAGTTGCAACCGTAGTTCTCGCAAAGATGAAGACCAAGCACAGCCCCCAACTACTGGTCACTGGCAGGCCAGTACATCCGATGTCTCCAAAATGTTTTCAACAAAACTTCAATTTGTTTTCAGCATAACATCCATCTGCTATCAAGATGTTTTGGGTCAGTTACCAGCAAAATATGTCATACCACCAAAATTGAGATGATGTCATACAGCATCATAAACCTGTACAAACCTGCTCCTGTATTTCCCCACCAAGAATATATAGTTTATTAACCTTTGTGAGATAAATTGACTGAGTTATTGAGGTTTGAAAAAAAAATCACGGACAAAAAATACTATTTTTGTACTATACTTAAGAATTGATTCTGGAATATCTTCCAGCTTCATGAATACACATACACAAAAAAATGATATTCCTTTTGAAAACATGTTTCTCCACCTTTTTGTCCCCTGAAGCCTTCCTGTGTGGGCAGTATTTCTATATGTAATTGTGGTGTGTACACGAGCAGTCAACAATTTGATTGATTCTTTGTTTCTAGGCAGAATATGGCAAATTTTATGGCAGAAATCTTTGTCAAATACCATCTACATGTATATCAATCAAATTCAGAATGATTTTGGCAGTATGTTCCCTCAAAATTTTTATTAGGGCAAAGAACTTCAGAAAATCAAACTTGCAGACACATTCAGGAATTACATGTAGAAATACTGCCCATACAGGAAGGCTTTAGGGGACAAAAATGTGGAGAAACATGTTTTCAAAAAGAATATCAATTTTTTTGTGTATGTATATTGATGAAGCTGGAAGATATTCCAGAATCAATTCTTAGGTATAGTACAAAAATAGTATTTTTTGTCCGTGATTTTTTTTCAAACCTCAATAACTCAGTCAATTCATGTCACAAAGGTTAATAAACTATATATTATTGGTGCGGAAATACAGGAGCAGGTTTGTACAGGTTTGTGATGCTGTATGACATCATCTCAATTTTGGTGGTCTCCCCACCACTTCTCAACAAATCCTCAATTGATGGATGTCATCCATTTGATATCCATTTCATAACTTTCTCATAACTTGCTCATAACTTGCTAGGGTCGGTGGGAGGCACTGGCCTGCCAGTGACTTGTGATTGGGGGCTGTGAAGATTTTAATATTCCAATAGCATGTTCATTTCGAACTCGAGCTTGGGCCACGTAAGTATTGAATTCACGATTTCGATCTTGCAGTGCGGCAGCCCCTTTGTAGGTTGCTACAAGAGTATTACTAACTCAATATGCCGAGTCAGCAAGTATATATTCATCTGAACAATTGGTCAGTGATTATATTGTAAGGTTTCCAAGAGAGAACCTTCACTGTGATCACAGGGAACTGCTCGAAAGCGCAAGTCACCTATAAAATGAATCTATATTCCCAAACTGGCTCCGCGTGGAGAGTCTCCTCTAATCAGTATCCACTAACACAACACTAAGCACACAAGAGAGATGAATAAAAGAACTAATAGAATGCTTACCTGGCTCCGCGTGGAGAGTCTCCTAAGGGAAAAGAGACAATCTGGAGCCAGGGCAACGGAAACAACTACACTAGACTCCTATAAACCCATAACACCCTGTGTAAGCACTAACTGTAAGGCATACCCTTACACCCTCCCCCTCTAAAAAAAATTCCTCTATGAATCGAGAAAGAAAGAAAAATGAAAAGAAAGCACCAAAAGAAAAAGAAAAAGAAATCCTCCCAATATGTTCCTGTGAATTGTGATGTGATGTAAGCAAACCAATGGCATAACTCGCCCTCAAAGAGTTGGCATAACTCGCCCCAGAAAGAAAAAAAATTATTCAAAACACTACAAAATCAGAAAGAAAAAGGAAAAGGAAAAGGAAAAATGTAACCAGCTGAAGAAGAAGAAAAAAATTCTAAAGACTGAATTTGATGAATTCGTGACTCTTGACATGATTGTGTTTGTAGCCGTTGTCGCGCTGCCTGCTGTTGATGACAAAGAAGCGGTCCAAAGATGTGCTCACAGAGTGGCCGTGGAATTGCTTTTACAACGGTGTAGAGGTAGAGGCGGTGCGCATACTAAGGAGGGTCACTTACTTTTGGACTCTAGTCCTATACTAGACTTCTTCATCCCTCCACATGTATGGTTTGAGCTTCAAAATATGAAAGATCGGGTGGGTTCTGTCTCCTTCCGCCAGTTCAAGTTCATAATTTCGTCCATTGTTCATAACCGTCTTGATTTTGTAAGGTCCGTCAAAGCGTGCTCTCAATTTTGATACCGTACGACCTTTCCCACCAACGATCTGCTGTCGATCCTGACTGTCCACCAATACCCAGTCACCCAATTCTAATTGACCTGTTCCTTTTCTTCTTTTGTTGTACTGAAGTGCTTGATCCACACGACTCGCCCAAAGCTTGTCTCTGCAGGTTGCCCAATCAGCTCTTCTTTTTTCGATCCAGCGATGCGCGTCACTTTCTTGAATCTTCTGACCCAAATTTGTTGGAAAAAGACGAGGCTGTCGGGCAAAAACAAATTCAAAAGGGCTGATTCCGGTTGAAGAGTTCATGGCTGAATTGATCGCAAACTCTACCACAGGTAATGACTCTAACCATTTGGTGTGCCGGGATGCCGCTAGATGACGTAAAATCTGACCCAGAGTCTTGTTAGACCGCTCGCTACGTCCATCTGTTTGCGGGTGATAGGAGGTAGAAAGTTTGACCTTGATGTTGAGGCGCTCGTTAAGGTGTTGCCAGAATTGCGATATCCAAGTCTTATCCCTGTCGCCGATCATGGATGATGGTGCCCCGAAGATAGATAGCCACGAATGGAATAGACGCCGTGCAGTTTTCTCAGCCGAGTCTTTTTGTGAAACCGGTATTAGTCGGACAAACCCTGATAAGCGGCATGTGCATGAGAGTACCATGTCAAGACCATTGACTTTCGGGAAAGGGCCAACAAAGTCTAGGCTAATGTGTTCGAGTGGTGCATGAGGAACTTCGGTGGTTTGTAAGCGTCCAGATATTAATGTTGTTCTCGCCTTGTTGCGTTGACAACTGTCACAACTTGACACAAATGTTTTCACGTCAGTGGTCAATCCCGGCCAAAAGAATTCTTTCCGAAGCTGCTCAACAGTCTTGACCATTCCTAGATGACCAAGCGTGCTATGTACACGAGATATGAGGTCCTGTCGCAGTTGCTTGATGTTGGGAATGACCAAACGTCCCTCAATGTACATGAGTTTGTCAATCATCAGACTGTCGTCCCGTAGTGGTAGTGTCAAGGACAACTTGGAACAGAAAGGGTCGGATTTGTAACCAAGCACTATCATCTGACGGGTGTTTTCATCTATTTCGGCTTTGATCTCCATTGCGGCAACTTCTTCTCTTCGTGACAGTGCATCCGCGACAGAGTTATCGGGTCCCTTGAGGTACTTAAAGTCCAAATCGAAGTCTGCGAGCGTCTCAAGCCACCTTGCTTGACGTCTGCTCAAGTTCCGCTGTTTCAGGATGTGCACCAAGCTATGATGATCCGACATAACATTGATTTTTAACCCTAATAGCAACAACTTCCACTTTTGTAAGGCGTTGATGACTGCTAAAAGTTCTTGTTCATGGACTGGGTAGTTGCGTTCCGCTGGTGACATCGTTTGACTTTCGTATGCAATTGGTAAAGACGTATCCCAATCCTTGCCTTGAAATAGAGCCGCACCCAAACCGTATCCGCTAGCATCTGAGAAAAGCCACAATGGATCTTCGGAGTCATAATCTATTTTCTTCAGTACAGGAAGAGTCGTTATCAACCTTTTAATGTTTTCAAAAGCAGCTTCTTCCTTTGTACCCCACCGATAGTCTCCCGGTTTCTTCTTTGAGCTTGTTAGCGGTGCAAGCGTAGCAACATATTGGCCTAGTCCATCAACAAATTTTTTCAGCCATTGTACCGTGCCTAGAAAAGAGTTCAGTCCTTTAGGTGATTTAGGGCTCCTCCAGGAGGTTATCTTGTCTACTTGAATTGGGTCAGGCCTGATGCCATCCTCACTGATCTCGTGACCAAGAAAGGATATCTTGCGCCTAAATAGTTTACTTTTGCGGGATGAGCAATATAAGTTGGCTTGTTTGAGGCGCGTCAGGACTTCCCTCAAATGCTTTTCGTGTTCCTCCACTGTATCTGAAAAAATGACTATATCATCTATGTATACCACACATATCTTCCCAATCAAATCCCCTAGAGCGTCTTCACAACGGGCCTGATGTGTCGCAGGAGCATTGCATAGCCCCATTGGCATAACCACCCACTCGTACATGCCCCATGGTGTTTTTACAGCCGTTAGTGGTATGTCTTCCTCCCTCATCCGGGTCTGGAAAAAACTGTTGATTTGGTCAACTACAGAGAACACTTTTCCTGTAGCCACTAGCCGGACTGCTTCATCAGGGTTAGGTAAGGGCGAACGATCCTTCACGGTAACTTTATTGAGTTCACGGTAGTCGCAGACCCAACGCGGTTCCGCCGTTGGATCCTTCTTTGGAATGATGAGGGAGGGAGATCCATATTGACTCGAAGAACGACAAATGC